TTTTATTGAACCTTTTATATTTTTATTAATTTTTAAAATTTTATACTTTTGCTACTTAGGAATTAAATAAACATATATATATTTTAAAATGGACATACTTCATATGTTATTACTTGATTTCAGATACAAAATACGACATGACCATGAGTCTCGTTAAAATACTTCTTTAAACTTATATGAAGGAAAAAATATACACTATGGCAATGTCCGAAGATTACACCCCAAAAGTGAGGTCAAAACCGATGGGCCTAAATACCCAACTAAGCAAAAACGCATCTCACCATTGCCATGTGGAAACATCAAGGAAGCACCAATGAACCTGTTTTCAACAGGACCAAAAACCAGCATCAATCAACTCCCAACAAAACCCATTAATCTGCATTCCACCATCATCGAGCACCACTCGAACGGTTCCCATCAAATTACGCAGAACAGGAAAGCACCGTTAACAAGTAGAAATCAAGAACCAGAACTCGTCGGAGACCAAAATGCCCATAACACAAATAGCAAAGGTCAAGCAGCTTAACTACAACCACACGACCGTAAAACCAAACCAAGTCTCTATTAAGCACCAGAAAAATGCACTTTCACTCCAAAGACAACAACATGGACAATCTCCCAACAAGCTTAGGTACAAACTCACTCCACCATGACCCCCACACTGCTCCAATAAATAAAAACACTACGTTGATTGGTGATAACCATGCATATCAGGAAAGCTAGAAACGGGTTCTTTGTGCACAACAACAATAACATTCAACCATTAGAATGTAGAGAAAGCCTTCAAGAAGATTATATCAGTCAACACAGTAGTTACCCAAATTCAGGATATACACACCACACCCTCGAAACAAGCACATTCATACACACCACACAAGCAAACAAAGGGTCTGGTTTAAGAATAATTCTTGGTAGTGTTTTGGGAGGCCAAGTTATGCCTCATTTGGATAATTCATTTTTATTACTGAAAGAAGTAAAATCTGCTATAAAAAATCACCGATCACAAAAAAAAATTACAGACTAATTACAAAAAAGGCGATCGGTTTAATCAATACCCCATGATATACAAAGTTTATTTTTTTCCCTCTTAATTTAATTCCTACGAAATCTTTGATGCTGCTAAGGATTTCATCAGTATTTCGGGAGCATCCTTTGAAAATTGTTCGGTTGCGTTCCTCCCATAAGACATAGATTTTAGCGCTCCAAGCAAGTTTAAGGATAGTGGTAAGGAGAGATTTGCCTTTCCAAGAGTTACATACCCAAGATACCATGTCCTCCCAAGATAATATGGTCTTCTTTAGCACATTGAGAAGCAATATTTCCTCTCGTAAATAAGAAGCAATGTAGCATTCAAAGAACAAATGATTCCGACTTTCCATTGTTTCGTTGCATAGAACGCAAATCCCATTAGTAACAATCCCCATGCTTTGAAGGCGGTCACGTGTAGGAAGCCTATTTAACAGAGCCATCCATGCTATCAAGCTATGTTTAGGGATGTGGAGGGAGAACTAAATCAAGGAGTGCCAAGGCACTTTATCCCCCTTCGTTATGATCTCCTGCCAAATTTGCCTTATCAAAATAGCTCCATTCAGAAGGATTGGATGTGCTTCGTCCTATTCTAAGTTCTGTCTCATTTGGGGTTGCTATATTCCGAATCAATTAAATAAACATTCAAACTTAAAAAAAAAATCCTTAATTTTTCTAAAAAATCGATAATCATTTTATATCATTCCATCATTCACACGTCAATTATCACATCAATAAGGTCCTCAAATACTTCGATAAAATTAATTACCATATCAACATAACAACATTCGACAAAAAAAATTCTGATCAAAGATTTATTTAATATATCAGTTTAAAATTTTAATTGAATGTAAAAAAACACTTAATTGATTGATTTTCGAAGAAAACCATAAACTATTTATACTCTTAATCTGGCTTTTTAAGGACCTCTTTGGATTCCATGTTTGTTTGTAATACTTTCATTTTTTTTTGGGAATGAAATAATCACTATTTCAATAAGAGAAAAAAGTTATCAAGTTGAATATTAAATAAATATTCATGTATAATTCTAAAATTTACCCTTTTCCATAGATAATAAAGCAATTATTTATTTTTAACACATTACATTTGTTAATCTTTTATATAATATGCTCATAAAATTGCTAAAACGTCCATTTTTTTTTATAAAAAAAGCATAAAGATTAAGGGGGCAAAATGACCGAGATAATATAAGTGAGATTTTTTAATTCTCAATATAGTTTAATTTAGGGATTATTTCCCTATCTATGGTGAATTGAATAGTACCAACCTAAAGACGGCAAATGTTTCAAGCATCGTCAAGCTAAATATGAAGACTCCACGACTACATGACGTCTTCAGGCAATTGAAGAAGACTACACGACTGTATGTCGTCTTCAGGCAAATTGAAAAGACTACAGGAGTGTACGGCGTCTTCAGATCAATAAGAAGCCTTAATTCAGTAAATAATATGGTGGATGTCTTATATGGTAAAATAAATTTTCCCACAACCTTATATGAGCAAGGAAACCAGATTAAGGTGAAGAAAGAAAGAATATATTTTGTTTTTCTAATAAATAAATATTTTGATGATAACGAATGATGATGGCTTTCACCAGCTCAAATTTGTAATTCTTTCAAGTAAAGAATGAGTTGAAATCTCTATCTCCGCATTACAGATTTTGTTATTCATTTTTATTATTTAGTTATTATTTTTCTTAAAATCATACTTAATTTTTAATTTTAATTTGATTAAAAATTAATGATGATGTTGACATGATAATTTTATGTCATTATTAATGAAAAATAAAAATGTTACATTAACAATTCTATTAATTTTAATATTTTCTAAAGGATTATTTATATTTTAAAAATTCTTAGGATTTTTTAGAAAAAATTTTGTATTTATTTTTAATAACATAAACTATTAAAATGTGGAAAATATATAAATATAATATATTAAAAACTTGAAAAGCATAAGGATCAAGGTGAGGATAGAAAGAATATATTTCTTTTTTTAAGGGTTAAATGTACAAAAGGTTCTCAATCTATGCATGTTTTTTTAGTTTAGTGTCTAACGTTTATTTCACGTTTATTTCGTTTCAGTTTGGTATCTAATGTTTCATTTCTTTACTCAAAATGGATCAAGATATGACATACCATTAGTTTTCTCCGTTAAGTGACACGTTTCACAATCTGATAATTTTAAAAAATTATATATTTTTTTAAAAAAGAAAATACATAAATTTTGAAATAACCCAAAACTTTGAAAACCTTCATTTCAACCGCTAACCCATGCCGACCCTGGCCCTTTACCGTTGATGAAGCTCCACCTGACCTCACCTCCCCCTCGATGAGCAAAACCCCTATGAAATCGTGTTTGATCAACGGTCAATCGATGACAAATCGACGTTTTATACCCCGTGAACCCTAGGATGAAAATCACAACCGAAGTGATTTTGACGGCCAATCGACGACAACTAAGGCGACTTATAACTAGGATGATGACAAGGAATACGTCAACGGCGGTGGTTGTGGCTGGAAAGGGCGACGACTGCGGGTTAATATTAAGATTTGAGGATTTTGAGGGGTTTTTTTTTAAATTTAAAAGAAATAAAGCTTTTTTTTATAAATATAATAATATTTTTTATATTAAAAAAATAAAATTTAAAATTATGAGATTGTGAAACGTGTCACTTAACGGATAAAATTAATGGTTCGTTACGGCTTGACTCATTTTGAGTAACGAAATGAAACGTTATACACCAAACTATTTCGAAGTAAATGTTAAACACTAATCTAAAAAATGGACATAGATTGGTCACATTTTATATATTTAAGCCTTTTTTTAATAAATAAGTATTTTGATGATGATGAATGATGTTGGCTTTTACCACCTCAAATTTGTAATTCTTTCAAGTAAAGAATGAGTTGAAATCTCTATCTCCGCATCACAAATTTTGTTAACATAATATAATTCCACATCATTATTGAAAAAAATAAAAATGCCACATCATCAATTCTATTAATTTTTTAACGGTATGTGACGAAATAAAACCAAAACGTAATATTATATATAATTTTGAAAAAAATAATTAAGTGACCAAAACAAAACAAAAATGATAACTAAGATGCTGATCGTGTAGTTTACCCTTATATATAATGATTGATCGCCGGTTATTTAAATTTTTATAAAATAATATGTATAAAATAGATTGTCCATTACTATTCGAAACTGGAGAGCTTTGTATTTATTTGAATTTTGAAAAACAGTACGTGCCGTTACCAAAGTGGACAAATTAATAACCGCGATGGGACAAAAGAACGCGGACTATCCCCGCAACGCAAACTACGCAGTTTCGCTGTTCTCTTTGGTTTAATGTTTACTTAACCACGACACTTTCCTTCACCCTTTTATAGTTTATATACGTTGTCGTTACTTTCAATTTTTATTTTTCGATTTCTTCTATCTACAAATGATTTTTTATTTATTTTCTTTTTGCCATTAAATAAATACTATCGATCTTATTCTTCTCTTCATCTTGTATAAATTTCAGGTGAATTCATTTTTATTTTGTTATGATTTTAATTTTTTATTAATATATTTTTTGTGCTCTATTATTTGTTCAATTATTGTTAGATTGGATCTACTCTTTGCCATTCGAGTTTCCAAGAATTCTGAAGTGAGTATTTCTTAAATTATTATTCGTTGAGTTTTTTTCTTCTTCCTTTTCCCTGTTTATTGAAGGGCTTATGCTATTTGATTGTGGCTGCGGAAATTGCTGAAATAAAAACAAACAGGAATTGATAATGATTTGATCTATCTATGGAAATTAAAATTCAAATTAAGTCGATATGCATCTATTTGTCCTTTTTTTACAATTGTATAATTTCTTTTGGGACGTAAATATGATCGCCTTATGGAAGAATTGATGATAATTTTGTTTCTATGTAAGAGAGAGCATCTGGGATGAATTTCGCGGTTCGATTGGTCTTTTGTTTAGTAAAGATGGTTTTTCTGATGGGGAAAATTGGTACCCATTTTTAGATTCGTATTTGTTGATATCTGATTGGTGATTGAATTTGAAGTTTGAAGCAATCATTTTCTTGCCCCTTATTTGGTTTCTGTGGACTTGCTTAGTTTAAAAGCCATTCTAAAAGTCTTTAGCTGAATCTACAAGTTGTTGTATATGAATGCCGATTGGTCTTCATCCACACTTTTATTTTGCAGTCTGTGGCATACTGGATAGATGCACTATGCAGATATCACGAACAGCTCTTCTCCAAGGAAGAGCTTTGGATGGGGCTATTTTTGGAGGGAGCCGCTCCTACAAGGTTTCTCTATCTTTGGTTTTTGTTTTGTGGGGACTTCTCTCTCTCTTCAGCTTGTGGCTTTGTCATGGTGATGGTCATAGAGGTAGTCTTTCATTATCATCTGCTTCGGCTCAACTGTCATGTTCTCCTGACCGAAATTGTTATTGTTCTGATGTTCTAGATGTGTCCATCTCTTGATCAGCCTTGTATTAGATCTTTTGTTCATCTGGATTTTCTACCTCCACCTCTGCTCCATACATAACTCTTGTGCATCCGCTCGTAATTAGGCTGCTATTAATCTTAGATTACTCTTTGGTTGATTGAAGGTGCAATCCGTCCTCGGTACTTGTTATACTATTTGAAGCTTGTAATTATTCTTTGGATCAGTGGGGTCATTTCCTATGCTATTGCTATATTCCTCCCCTTCATGTGGTCTGATAATTATGGTAAAAATCTGCCATGAGTAGTTGGGTGAAAGTCATCTGGAAGGCCAATGCTTTCATTAAGTTATTAAAGTATCAGTTTGGTGCGAATGAAGGAGTGGATGTGAAAAAGTTGTAAATAAGACTGGCTTTACATTTTTAGCTAATTGCAACTAAACAGATAAATTCAAAAAATGCAAGAACATTGGTAATATTGTGATACTATTGCACTAATAATAGAGCAGTACGTGAGATATCTAATCAATATTTTTATAGAGTATAAAGCTGAAACTAGTTTAATTCAGTACGTGAATTAACATGATATTTGAAAGGACGAAGAATAAGAAGTGTTGGCATGGTTCTCTACCTGTTGTTCAGTTATCCCATGCTTGCCTCTGCAGAGCATTTTAGCAGCAATGTTGTTCTTCCTTTAGACCTCAATTTGTTTGTAAATTTAGTGGAACATCAGATCATTAAGTTGATATATCTATGCTAATTCTTCTGTTTTTATTTGAGCTTCTCTTTTTTACATTTGTACTAATCTGTTAACAGTAAGTTGTTGACTCCTAAAGTTATGGAAAAATGTTGAATGTATTTTTTATTTCAAATGACTTCTCTAGAAGAGGAAAAAATGTTTTAAGCTATTACCCTTCTGTTGAGTTTTCTTAATCTATATCTCGAATCTGTTTATACTTAGGAACTAAAATACTTCTTCATCTTTTTCATGAAACTTCACTAATTTATCAATGTCCCATCTCTCTGATTCCTTAAATGTCTCATCATTTTGTTTTGCATGGTTGAAGTTTGGAAAAGATTTTATTACTGACTATTTCAGTATCTTTCATATCTCTAGTATTTATGTCTCCTGGAGTGCATTTGTTATTGATGTTTTCCTCGTAGTAGTACAGGCGCTTACTGTTCAAGTTATTCCTGGAATTCTGTCTGAGACTGCAAATTATTCTTTCCATAAATTTAGAAAATGTGGGTCTTCTTATTTATGTACTGTGGATAATCTGTAATTTCTGGAAAGCATTTGCATGTCTTCTTACTATTAATTCTGTTATTTTATTAATTATAGGTGGGTCTGTAGTCCTTGGCTTATCAACATGGGATGAAGCTAAGATGGGACACAATGAACATGCTGATTCTCCTGGTCAATGTTTGGTGGGCGAATCTTGTTCTTTTTCTTCTCATGATGGTTTTTGTTCAAATATTGCTGAGACCACAGATCTTCATGATGATTCACCAGCAAGTGATGAAACTAGCAAAACTCTTGTCTCTACTAATGAGCAACTTGATGCTGGAAACTCTGTTGCAGATATAAAATCTGAAAATAGCTCTCCAAAGTCTGATAGACTGTCCCACACCCTGCCTCCTGGTCTTGACGAATTCAAGAGCCGAGCATTCTTTTCTAAAAGTAAATCTGGTACTGGTCAGGCAGGAGTAATGCATAGGTTGGAGCCTGGGGGTAAAGAATACAACTATGCCTCAGCTTCAAAAGGAGCAAAGGTCCTGGCATACAACAAGGAAGCAAAGGGTGCCTCTAATATCTTAGGCAGAGATGAGGACAAGTACCTACGAAATCCCTGTTCAGCCGAAGAGAAATTTGTTGTTATAGAACTTTCAGAAGAAATTTTAGTAGACACCATTGAAATAGCAAATTTTGAACATTACTCCTCTAATCTGAAACAATTTGAGTTGCTTGGGAGTTTGGTTTTCCCAACAGATGTTTGGACTAATCTGGGGAACTTTACTGCTGCCAATGTGAAGCTTTCTCAGAGATTTGTTCTTCAGGAACCAAAGTGGGTTAGGTATTTGAAGTTAAACCTTCTGAGCCATTATGGTTTGGAATTTTATTGTACGCTGAGTGTTATTGAAGTGTATGGAGTGGATGCAGTAGAGAGAATGCTGGAGGATTTGATCTCTGTTCAGGATAATCTCTTTGCACCTGAGGATGGAGTCCGTGATCAGAAACCAATGGCATCACAAGCAGAGTCCACTCATCGCGATGATATACAAAAAAGTTCACACAAGGAAATGGGATCTGAGCCTTCAGTGGAGAACTCAAATGCGCAGTTTGATGCTACAAATGTTGCTCCCAATCCAGTTGAAGAAATTCGTCATCAACAAGTTGGCAGAGTACCTGGAGACAGTGTTCTAAAAATTTTGATGCAGAAAGTTCGAGCTTTAGACTTAAGTTTATCTGTTTTGGAGCGGTACTTAGAAGAGTTGAATTCCAAGTATAGCAATATTTTTAAAGAATTAGATGAAGACATAGGAGAAAAAGATAAACTGCTGGATAAAATTAAAGCAAATATAAAAGATCTCCTCGACAACCAGAATATCATTGTATGTGAAACTCGAAGTTGATACAATAATAGTTTTTCTCTTCTTTTTCTTGAATCAGGTGTATTTTAACTGGTAATAATTTTGTTTTTTCTTTTCTTTTATCAGGCTAAAGATGTTGCTGATATTGCATCCTGGAAATCTCTGGTTTCTGTACAGCTGAATGCTTTAGTCATAGACAATGCTGATCTCAGGTCAGTTTACATGATTAATTTTCTGAAATTTCATTTTTTAAAATTTGTGTAATAAGCCTATGGTATGAATTTATTATCTTAAACTTATACCTGGTTCACTTCGGTGCTAATTTTAGGATAATGTATAAACATGATTCTTTTTCCCTCGAATAACAAACAATTAAGCTGAATTAAAATCACTGAAACCATCAAAAACTTTAAAATGTGATTTCAGCGATTTGGTTATAATTTATCTCTTTTTGTAACTTTTGAATTTTGTTTATTGTTACTGCATTCTAAATTTGACATCTTCAATAAAAATATATGTTAAATAGTAAATTTTTTCTTCGATATATGCAAACATTTTTCATTTATACTTTTGTAAGCAGTTAAGAAAAAAACTACAGTTTGATGGCTGGTTTGTGGTTTCTTCATTCTTTAGGGTGTGAAATATTTACACTATGTTTGTTAGAAAGGAGGCAAAATGGAGTGAAGGAAAAAAGGCGATGAAAGAAATGGGGAAGGGAGGAATGTAAATTATTTCTCATTCATCGTATTTGGAAAGAAAATAGAGGAAAGAAAGAGATTTGGGGTAAAGTAGGATGGGAAAATATTTAAATAACTTAGCTAGAATGTGGGAATAATGATTTGGAGTATTAGAAGTTTTTCCATCTCTATCCCTTTTATCCTTCCTACCATGCTCTCGTCTTGTTGATGGGTGATTCTTGAAATGTTTGGATCTAAGCTACTTGTACTAGTAGAAGAAAGCTACCAGTCTTCTTATTACTGGGGATTTCTCTTGGCAGAAAACGAGGCCTTCTAATGCGTGCTATGTGGGGTAGCTAGTTAGGGACTGATGAATAAAAACCAATAGTTAGGGCTTAATAACGATGCATTCTTGAAGGTGATGAAAACTAATAAAATACTTACATTTGGAATTTGGATCCAGCTTCTTACTGGATGCATATACACCTCGTATTTATGATTGCATAGCATTATATCAAATTGTATGCAATATCATGTAAAGGAGAAGGCAGCATGGTTAGAACGTAAAACTGAGAATATTCATGCAAACCATTCCATGGGGCTGTTTGAAAGAAATCTGGTGTGGCTTTTATTGCTAATTAACGTGAACTTGTGTGATTGGTGATAATTGACATTGATTTTCAGGTGGAAAGTTGAAAAAGTTTTGGAAAGACAGACATCGATGGAGAATAAGTTCATGGCGGTATTTGTTGTAACCTTAGTTTTCGGATTGTTTGCTATTGTGAGGCTATTGGTAGATATGTTGTTGAGCATTTACATGTCATTTATTAGTGTTGAAAGAATGGAGAAGCCGAGGAAATTTTGGTCGCGTAGCTCTTCCTGGCTCTTGTTGCTATGCAGTTGTAGCATAATCATTTTTATATTATCTATTTAAATATATGTTTTATGATGGCATTTACATTTGGAATTTGGTAAGATGGTCTGTCTGTGCATTTGTTTCAATCCTTCTATAATCATAATAAGCCTAACAAGTAGGTTTAATCAAAGTTTCAACTTCTTTAACGTTATCCTTAAAAACTAAATGTAACTGAGTTTGATATATATAAACATACAAGTGTAATTGATTTGTAGCTATATATAATATGTTAAAGCAATTGAATAAATAACTTTTTATTTGAGGCTTGTATTACTTGTTAAGTTGTATTTGTAAAAATAAAAATAAAAATTCATTTTTTTTAGAGTTTACTATAATTTAATGTCTAAGGAATGCCAAGTAAAATTAATTATATAAACTAAAATTTTAGATCATGAATAATTTTATTTTATAACCTTTTATATAAAATATTTTTTTTTTAAATTTTAAAAATTATCGGATCAAATATATAGATGGTCTTCCAAAGTAGAAAATAGAATAATGAATTATCAAATTATTATCGAAGATGACGACTAACTAGTATTGTAACACCCCTAACCCGTATCCGACCCGAATACGAGTATGAGGTGTCACATTGACTTTTCAAACTTTGACACTTATAGAGAAACAAGGAAATTTAAAACTTTTATTCAAAATAAAAACTGTTAATTTACAAAAATTGACCATACTACACAAAATTGATCAGAGCATTTATAACTCACAAGTTGTTTACATGCCAACACAATAATTACAACAAAATACCTACATTGCAAGTTACTCCTGATCTGATCCTTCCTGTAAAGTACACTGTCCACTTAGCTCTTAATTATGATCTTCTTGCTTCTTGGTACCTACGTGTAAATCACTTATACGCTAAGTCACAGACTTAGTGAGGCAATAAATGAACATGTAACAATAAATTCATGAATATGCACTCTTACCTTTTTATCATGATATTTCAATGTACATATATATATATTATATGATAACATATGTAAACATGATATGCACATATGAACTTTACTTCTTATACACTTTTCCATTCCATTTATCTTTAGATTGCCCATGCACATTAATGAGAACAAAGGTACTTGAGTACATTGAGATTGTGCACTAATGCTGTCACCACAGCTCAATAAATTCCCTCATGAGGCACCGAACATTCGTTCAGTATTTGTCCCGAAGGACCACTATGTCCCAAAGGACTATTGATTGTTCCGAAGAACCACTATGTCCCGAAGAACCACTATGTCCCGAAGGACCACTGTATATCCCTCGACTCTTGGCATGCCAATTATACCTACATTTCTCATATTAAAGGACATGGGCTTAATTAAAATTCTCATTATCATATCACTGCTATCATTTCTCATATAGCACATAATTCATTTCATATACACATGATTCTTTTCAATATTCACATACCTGTATCAATTACCCTTGCAATGGCATTTGTTCACATAATATCATATTAAAGCATAATAAATTGTGCACAAAATCACTATAACAATAATGCATGTATGCATATACATGAATATGAAATTATGAATTCAACTATCAGAGATAGACTTATCACAAGTCTTATCTCCATACGCTTAAACCATAAAATGCACTCACCTTAGCCTTGCTCGTTTTGACTCGATACTAATCCTTTTATTGTTTCGGAACAGACTTACGTTCTATATCTACATAGTAATACAGTAATACATATCAGTATACTAATTAATATATGCTAAACTATCACTTCTTAGTCTAAAAGAAAGGACAACTTTATCTTTAATGAGGGTATGCATCGATGCACTCTACAGTGTATCGATGCATTCCTTAACGGGTGCATCGATGCACTACTTATGCATCGGTGCATGAATCACATTCGATGTTTGTATTTAATGGGGTGCATCGATGCACTCCTTATGCATTGATGCACTAATGGCATTCGATGTTTTTATTTTATCAGAGTGCATCAATCACCTTGAACAATTTTTGGGATTTATCCTTGATGCATCGATGCATATTGAATGTGCATCGATGCACATAGCCCAGAATTGTTATTTTATCACGAAATTCATCCCTTTTTCTCCCCAATTCTTCTTATTTCACTTCCTTTAATGTTTCTAACTTGCATACATATACTTACACTCATTACTACTCAATAATAATTTCTTTAAACTTAAAATCCAATCTTCCACATAAACTTCAAGAATTTCACCCCAATTCCAACATGTTCAAAATCTAATTTCGACACTTCATATCCTTTAATTAAGTAGATGACAAGTCAAATTCAACTTCTTATTCTAATTATGAACTCTATTTCGAAATTTTATTCACACTCCAAATCTTTAAATCCTCCTACCCTATTCATTTTGTTGTTTTGAAGCAAATTAAGCATTCCTTAATCTTACTTATCACCTAATAGTCAAAACCCAACTTAAATTTCAGCACATAATCAGCTTAAAAGAAATCTCACCTTTGCTTAGCTTCACAAGTGAAGAACAAGAAGAAAAAGAAAGAGAACTCTGGAAGCTTATGTTTTTTCTTCCTTCTTCCACGTGTAGCTAAAATAAATATAAGAAATCTTAATTATTTTCCCTTACAAATGACCATTCTATCCTTCAATTTCATTTTCCTTGCAATTTAACCCTATACTAAATTTCAACACTATTCAATCATTCTATTTTAATCACCACATTTTGAACTTTTATAATTTAGTCACTAACCCGATATTGAGGCTGTTACAAGTATAATACAGTAAGATAATAAAACATTCATCATTTTACTATTTATCATATCAATAAAGGATAGATAATAATAAGAATAAATTATTTTTTCATTTTTATTCAATTATCGAGTTAAAATTAAAATAATTTTTTTATCCAAATTAGACCAAATTTGAGTTACTTTCACTTCAAGTGAATCGTTTTAGATTAAATTAGATACTACATATTATTGGACCAACTAAAATTTGAGTTAATTTTAATTCAAGATAAAGTATATAGATGATTCTTTAATTATAGGGCGTTGCTTTGTTGAGTTATCTACTATTAAAAGTTATAAAATAATCTATGGCTATAAAGTGTTGTTTCGTTGAGTCTCCAACTATTAAAATTTATAAAATGGTGATCCGATTATTCATATGTTCCAATCTCATCATTTTTTGTTAAAAAATTGATAGTAATTTGAGTTAGACGCTAACATACTGGCTGAGATATTGTAAAATTTGATCTCAAAACCTCAAACTCAATCAACATGTTAACATCAAGCTCAGACGATCGTTAATTTTTTAATAGAAAATGACACGTTTGAAACATAACGAGTAGTCGAGTGACCATTTTATAGTTGAGAGACTCAACAAAGCAACGCTCTAGAGTCGAGAGACTATTTTGTATTTTTTAATAGTTAGTGGACTCGATAAAATAGTATCTTATTATTGGGGGACTATTTGTGTACTTTACCCTTGAATTTATTGTAAATTTTGAATCGAATTTGAGTTATGTTCGAATGATGTAATTTGCGAGAACTAGTTAAAAACACGGTTAAGAAACGAGAGATAGAAAAGGAGTTGAAATGGAAAATTCATTTCAAAACGCGGAAATAAAAAGAGAGAGAGACTTTGGACGCTATACCTTCTCTCTTTTTTTTCAAATCTCTTAATTGTCGCAGAGATCTACACATACACACATCTTGATTTCGCTTGGATCTATCGTCTTCGATCAGCTTTCTTTCTACTCTTATTGATCTTTCCATTGATCAACCAACAGATCTTAGATTTTAAGAAATGGAGGCGATCGAGGAGTTGTATCAGCTCTCAGATTCCATGAGGCAAGCGGCGGCGTTGCTTGCCGACGAAGATGTTGAAGAAAACTCAAGTTCCAAGAGGTCTTCTACTTTCCTCAACGTTGTGGCCTTCGGCAATGTTGTAAGTAGTTCATCTTTCAAGTTATCTTTTGATTTTCTTTTCTTGATTCATATGTTTTCAACTTATCAATCTGCTTAATGTAAACTGTTTGCCTTATTTTCTGTATGTGTAGATTGGATTGAGGTTTACTTCTCTTTGTTTGTTTCAGTTTTATGCCTTTTCTGTCCGTAGCACGCTGGCAAAGTAGATCCTTAGATTTTTTTGGGGTGGGGGTTGTGGGTTTATATTTCCATGGGATTGGTTTTTTTTTCCTGATTTCTAATTACCAAGTTTTATGGGGAATCTAAGCAATAGAGAAGAAATCCGTAGCTGATTTGTCCTTTTCTCATAAGTTCGAAAGGGTTTTGAGTAGGAAAAGGCACTATTGCTTAGTTAAAGAGACTTGAATGTTTTACACGGTCATCGGAATTTGAGTTACCGTTTTCTCATTCTAAACGACATGTTTGCTAGTATTATTAAGAATTTTAATGTAACATTGTGGTGTCGCTTTTCTTTTAATTTGTTTGCATATTGATATGTCGCCCTGATTTTTTTCTTCCATCTTTTTTTGTGGTTGACAAAATTAGGGGTCTGGGAAATCTGCAGTTTTAAACAGTTTAATTGGACACCCTATTCTGGTAAGTCTGCTCTCTCTTGTTTATTTTCCTTGGATATCAGTTTTGTTGCTGGTTGAACTGAAAAGTTTTTCCTTTATTACTTATCCAGCCAACTGGTGAAAATGGTGCTACCAGGGCTCCTATTAGCATTGATTTACAGAAGGATGGTTCTTTAAGCAGCAAATCTATTATTCTGCAAATCGACAATAAATCTCAACAAGTTTCTGCAAGTTAGTACATATATATTCGAGGCTAACAATTTTACAATTACATAAGTATTCTCTTTTGAGTTATGGTAAATGGTAATACATTGTGGCTCTCTCTAGAAACATCTTCCTAGGACCCTCATTACCTGCCCTGATGCCTTAGAATTTCTGTTGAAGTGGTTGAATCCTAAAGAACACATCTTGGAAGCGTTTGTTGATATTTGATATGCATTAGATGTATGTATTTGAAACCAATTTGAAATTGGTAAATAGGCTAGAAGTCTAGAACATGAATCTAGAGGGTTTGGAGCCATAGTAAACCTTAAACCT